TTCCACATGACCATGCCCCAAAGTCGGACCAAAGAAAAGCCACTTGATGATGGTCGAGTGTCTGTATGAAAAGCACTCGAAAGATTTTTCCGCGACTGGCGCGCAAATAAATTGAAAACTCGTTAAAAATCCATAATGCTTGAGGCGGCACTCGGAAAATGCGACCGACTGCAGCGGTGGGGTGGGGTCAAAGGATGGAAAAGCGAATGATTTTCATTTTCCAATTCCATATTTCCAAGGCATTCGAATCGAACTTCGATTGGCTTCGATTCAATTCGATACGAACGTACCATATTCCATTCCACTTTATCGCCGCTGCTGCCTGTGGACCATAAATCTGAAATCTGGCAAGTGGCTTTTCCTAGTGCACTTGGTTAATTAATAATTTTATGGCATTTTAATGGCCGGCCTAGCCAACAACGGGGAATTAATCAACGGCGTGATCCATTGCGCCAGTCGAACCACCCCGATCCTCCAGTGGGTCCACCACTCCACGTCCACCAATCCAATCCCCATTGATCTTGTGCGCCTCCCACTCCCAAAAAGGTTTCCCATTCTAGGCGCGTTTATCAGCGATAAATCTCTTTGTGTTTTTGCGCCGGCGCAAGTGAATTGAATTGAATTAAATTTTAATTAATTTTATCTGCACTTTGTGCCAAACACGCGGCATCCACATCCCCATCCCCAACCACCGCCCTCAAAAGATCACTTCCCGTCCGATCGGTGTAATTGTGGAAAATTGAAAATCTCGGGGGCCTGGGCTTTGATCTCCATCCATCCTTCTGGTTTCTGTTCGATCCAATGGAATTTCTTTAAGCAAATCGACGCCATGCTTAAGCATTTTGGCAGTAAATTTCAAAAGAAATTGATAATACTCATTATGCCCATCTGCGATTTCCAGCCTTTTGTTTGTTGTTTTTCCTTTCCCTCTTTTCGATGGCAACAATTTGCGTAAAATTTTTATGACTTAAGATTTTACGATGAATTCCTCTCAACTTGTTGGCGGGCTGATTTTTTATTTTCCGTCATTGCAAAGGGAAAGCGGATCATTTCGCAGTTTTTGACTCATTTCAAATGCGTCACTGTTAAGACTTAGTTGAACTTTTAAATGTTTATACTAGTAGATATAGTTATTCAATGACTAAGCAATAAAGAAAACTTAGACAAATATTTAAATCAATCTTATGTGTTTTTAGTAATTTTTATTAAAGAGAAAAAATATGGAAATAAAAAAAAAAAGTATAAAGATTTTTAAAGGTCTTGGGCGGTTATGTATAATTATTTACGTTTGGTAGTTATGAAATATTTTAATTAATATTTAACAATGTATCACAATTTTAAAGGAAATATTTTTTTATAAATATTTTTCGTCCCACCCTACCTCTCATAACACTTTCATCTTACCAAAAAACCAATTTACCTCACCATTTTTGCTTTCAACATGATCGCACTTGGGCATAGCCTCCGAAATCACTGACCAACGGCTTGTTGGCCCGGCCAATTGGCTTTCTAACCCAATTCAAATGTCATTTAAATGTCAAAAGTGCCCGCCTCGATTCGATTTGCCAACAATGGAAATACATTTGCGTGGCGGCACATTCAGAAATCAGCTTTCAATCGCAGACGAGTCGCTGAATGTTGAAACAAATTTGCGGCTAAATTGTCAATATGACGGGGAGACCTCGATACCTCGATACGTAAATCGAAATGAACATGAAAAGCGCCGCTAATTGTCAGAAATTGTTGGACATTTTACCAGTGCGTGTGTGGATTTATCTGCTGTTCTTTTGGGGCGGCCAAATCAATTGGCTAAATGTGTGGTCCGCCCTTTGCTTTGATTTCCAAACTTATGTATGTGTTTGGGGTTCCGAAATATTGCGTGACAGTTTGTTGAATAATTTACGGATCCGCTGGCCCCTGAACCCCTGAACCCCTGAACACTTTGAATAGCTCATAAAAGGCATTTTGGTTGTTTTCACGCGCACCTAAACACACGCAACAATTTCGGCTATCTAATTGTGCGCATAACTGTGCACCTGGGGGAAAAAAAACACCATAGCTATTTACATAAATGTGGATATAATTAAACATGACACAAAAAGACGACGAACTTTTCACATCGAGGGAAATTTCGGTCGGCAATTAGTTGGTTTAAATGCCGCATAAAAGCAGGGCCCAGAAAGCTTGTCAATTACGCGTAAAATGTCCCATCCCCAGTCGACCATTGTCAACCCCAGATGAGATCCATCAGCCGATCCCCAGCGAACCCACTGCGCATGCGCAACTTTGTTAAGTAACTTGGCCCAAACACGGAATCTGATATGGTAGTATATTAATGCTGTACACTGTACGGTCTGTATGTGTGCATAATAATTTTAATGAACGGTTCCGTCTGCCGGAGCGATGGTAATCGTACTTAATAATATTTACAGTGGTAATCTACCCGAGCGATGATGGCGCAAGGTGTCGCCATCGATTTGGGACCTGGTCAGGCACTGAGCGAAAATATTTGTATTCTTTAAAGGAAATTAGTTTTAATATGTTTGGGTTATGCTTTGTATGCAAATCGTGTTTTTGAGAACTACCTAACCATCATTGTAAAATATCTACAACACAATTGCTCAAGGATCTTGAAATAGATAGCGTTATATTTATCAATATTCATTTTACCAACAAATATAATAGATTTCTTTATCCTATTTCTAACAATTTCATTGATAATATTGGGATTTTACATTTTAGATTTATTTTATTCATTTTTCCATTTTCCTTCTAAACTAAAAATTATACCATCCTAAAATGTTAAGATATAATGCTATTAATCACAAAAAAAGGAGTTTATTTGTTAAAATATCCGTAATAATTTAGTAAACTTTAATTTAAGATTTATTTTATTCAAATTCCTAGTTTCTTATTTGTTCTCCCTGTAGCTATCCCGTTCGATTTCCTTCCAAACCGAAAATTATACCATAGATAGAGCGCACCGCATTCCTCATGGCTACCTGAAATAATTGCCGGGGCAGCTGCGCAACCCACGGAAAAAGGAAGTAAGGATGCCACCACTCCAGAGTCCACTCCTCTTCAAAGTGGGGCGTTCTGCGGTGGCACACAAAAGAAATAATTTGGCGTTGATTGCCATGTACGCGACTGTGGTCAACACCCAAATTTGACACCAAACGTCTCCGCGGTCCGATAAATTGTGAATGATAAGCTCGATAAAGGGGGCAACTAAGAAACCTAAAATTGTATATTCTTGGTGTGTTATATAAGTATTGTTTTTGGGCCAATGACAGGCAACCGCAATACCAACATAAATAAGCCAAGGGGAGATGAAGTGTTGCTTAATAAATGCAGATTACTTGAATTAAGGGGTAAGTGTTATTAAATTAAATTACAATTTTGTTGGGGGGAACTCAAGAAAGAGTTACCAATTAAATTGTAGAGATCGCCATATCGATATTGAATTTAAAAGTGCCCAAAGGTGATGAAAGCAATGTGAAATTGTATTCAGAAGGGGATATTTTGTATGATATTTATTTTTAGTAATTTTGTAAGGAATACATGCTTTATAGGAAAAATCACTTATCTTTTCTTGATTATCAATACAAAAATATGTCTTGAATTGTCTTAAACATTCACTTATGTTATTTTTCCCACACCTCCCTGAAGTTCTAGCTCCTTTGCACACTTGCTACTGGTTTTCATTCACCGAGATTTCCCCCTGGGGACTTTGGAATCCTTGGGCCGAGTTTTTCCCGAACCGCAGAGGATAATAAAGATTCCATGTTAAAAGCGGCGCGCGCACAGTAGCCATTGGGTACCGTTAGTCAAAGGTTCGAACGAACCGTTATTTCCTATAATTTAGCGGCTAAATTCAAACAGGACTCAAACGGTCATCAGGGGGGCGGTAAAGAGCGAACACTATGCATCCGCAAACCATCCGCAAATGGAGTGAGCCGAGCAGAATCTCCAGATCCAGACAATGAGGCCCTAAGCGAAGTCATTAATAAGCAAAGAGCCATAAGTAAATATCCTTTAAGGATGTGCCATGTGTGTGTGGGAGTGGATGGGAGGGTTCCTACTATTGCGGGGAAATTTATAGGTCTAATACCTCTTATTAATAAGTTTTAAATTCATTATATCTTTTTATATTTTATCATAAAACATAAGGTATCTTAACTTCATGTCAGCCTAATTTAAAAAATATTTTGTGTAGTATATAATACAGATATAATTATAAATACTTGTAGCGCTCGCTTGAAATTATGTACAATTTAAAAAAAAAAATCAAAACATCTCTAAAAATCTGATCGCATCTGTAAAACCTGCACACCATAGGGCACCATAAACATGTCGTACTTATGGCTAGCCAATATTTATGCACCCATATCTGGGCATAAAAATTGCCACTTTGCTTTCCGAATCTCCATTCTGCGTTCTTGACTTTTGATTTTGCATTGTCTTCCGTTTTGTCCTGCGTCTGTTTGTGTTTTGCCTTGGGTCCTGTCAACTCGCACAAAACAGGAGACAAAGCGGCGTCGTTTTGTTTTGCACACACAGTGCCCGAAAAAAGATTCCGGCCAGAAACGGAGCCCAGCGGGATTTCGGTTCTTGATTCCTGATTTCTGAACAGGGACCACATGTTGACAATACGCCCTCTCCTTTTCACGATCTGAAAGAAACAGGTGTGAAGAGATCGGCATGTGGGTGCAGCGGCTGCAAAAACTGTCCCCGCATTAATTTTAAATATTATTTTGGCAGATCTGACCCCTTAATAATAAATGAAATTTGCATCGCTTTGTTTGCGAGTCTTTCGACAAATCGTTTCCGTTTTAGCTGCGTCATATTTTGGTTATTAATTATTAAAAAAATTACAAAGAAGTCAGGGAATTGTGTATGTATATTTTTTTCATTTTTTATTAACATCTGAAAATCCCTTTTTCTATGCTGGCCTTATTGAAATGTACCAAAAATTTTAATATGTATAAGTAGGCGCCGGAATAGTAATACGTTTTAATATCCCAAACATAATTATACAATTTCTACCCCAGTGAAGCAAACATTATTTTCGGGGGATAAAAGCAAGAGTTTAAGAGTTTCTTAATTTTCTATGGAGTACTTTATAACTTGCAGCAAAGGAATACCTGTACATGAAGTGCAGGGAGAGGAAAACAGAGCACTCCGAGATATGGATATGGAATCGATAAGGGGTTCTTACCATAGAAGGAGGAGGAACAATATCAAACTATCGGATTCTTCAGACTCGGAATTGAGAATCAATCCCCGCACCAAATCTCGGATTCCCCTCAATCGTTCCCATTCCATCCCAAGGAAGTATATATCCAAAAATCAACTGGATCGTCAAATCCGTGCCGCTGTGGTAGATGCTTTTAAAGACTGCATTATAGCTCCAAAATGTAGATCCGAAAACGAAGCAGTATTTGGAAAACATCGTCGTCATCCGAAGTGTATTAAGGATGTGGAAAAAGTTCCTGTTCAACAGAAACGTCACCGCTCCCAATCCGCAGATGGCTTATATCACACGGGTCATGATAAGAAGGCAGTCCAGGTTTTATTCGTTAGATCACCGAGAAAATCAAAAAAACATGGTCCCGCCTTGGAAGTCTATCTGGAGGCACTTGAAGATAATAATGTAGCGGCTATACCGGACGCAAATCCAGAAGTACATATACCACCTCAGGACCAAATACCCAAGGACTTACCACTTGATGAGATTATAAGCCAGATGAGCTCGAAGTTAATCAGGGCTGTTATAAGCATGTGCTTCCTTACAACTAAAGTGTTTATAAACCTGGGGTTGCTACAAGCCATAGATCGATTTACCACCAGAATGTCCAAGTCAAGTTGGGTGAGTCTTGGACTATTCCTGGTATTTATCCTGGCCTGGGCCTATGAGTTTGGAGAACCAGTAGCCCGGATTAGTGAGGCAGTGGGCGATCTCTTCAAGGATCGTACCCGTTCTTGGTGGAACTTTATATAAGTACAATAAACATTGTAAGGAAAAATTCCAAATTTCTCACTTATTATGTTTTTTGAATAATAATTCATGCGAAATAAATATATCATATTGATTGTGAAACCTTAATACTGAATCACCACTCATTTGGCAATCCGTGGCATTGTTCAATCCATTTTCGAAGCCATAACAAATGACACTTTTAATCATTGCATATTAACGGACTAAGCCCTGACCGATACCCGCACTTTGGACCACTGATTTATGGCCCAGACAGCGACATCCAACCAAAAATAACCCATTAACTAAATCCGCATTTAATAAATGCCAGCCAGCGGCAGCGAGAAGGTAACAGAAGGGTTAAGACCGGAGGGATAGAGGGTTAAGGATGGGGATCCGCCAAGTTGGCAGTTACAAGTTCCAAGTTACAAGACCGGCAAATTAATCACGCTGACGACTGCGACGTGGTTGATGATATTGGTCGACTGATGCTGACATTGAGGAGCTGCCAGCCGCACCAGCCATCAGTTAGCCAAGTATCCCCATCCCCAGTATCCCCAGTATCTCAGTGGATACAGGGCATCCAAATCCAAGTATCCCACTGTGCCGGGGGCATCAATCTGCGGTCGAGTCTCCACTTTCGGGCACCGTGACATGTGTGGAATGCAGCCAGAAATCGGAATCAGAAGCGTTGACATGACAACTCGAGATGAGGGGTTCGCGATAAGGACAACAGCTTTCTATGGCACGAGCATGGAAAACCTTTTTAAGCCTAAGCCTTACTTAGACATTTTCTGTATTTCAACTTTACACAGAAAAAACTCTAAATATCTAAAGGGTCCATTACTGCTTTCACTTTATAAAGATGCAATATCTATTCTTATGGGATCTTAAAAAAATTGTGTATTATTTACATTTTGTACATTCTACAACCTTAGTTTTAGTATATAATTCCAGATTAGCTACCATATTTTTTAAATATTTGTTTTCCAAATCGATCCTCTTTTTCCCAGTGCATCCCCACATCCAATCTTCGGTCACGCAGTCAGCACCGAACTCAACTTTGACTTGTTTTCACGCCATTGTGATCATGTTGGTGACTCGTGCGCTTAATTTCAACAATTTGTTTGGCATTCGGGTATGAAATGCAATGAGTTTCTAACTTGGCTTCAGATCGAACCCGAATTTTAAGAGAGCTGAGCTGAGGTCGCTGTCATTGATTGATTGGCCATCGGCTGTGGCGTTTCGAAAGAGCTTTTCACTCAACTCTTGTTAGCCGTAATGGATCGTCGGGCATTACGTAAATTCGTTTCTTGGTAAATGATGCTGACAAGGCATTTGATTAACACGATTAATTGCTGATAAAAATGTCTGACAGTTTGTTTTCTCCCGATGGAAACTTATTGCCCACTACTGGAAGTACGTAGGTAAACCCAAAAATATGGGTTATTAATTGATATTTAGTATTTTAAAAACTAAAAGAGCTTCTCGAAATACACATTTTATCAACATATTTTAAAATTTTTTTAAAATGATATTATAATTTTTTCTGGACTTTAAAATCTTTTTTTAAACCACTTCATTATATGCTTCCTTTGGAGACCCCTTTCATATTATTTATTTTAAACACTTTTTAATCCAATTTAAATTTATGCACATTTTCCCTTCATCTCTTATCTACTGTAATATTTAAATATTAATTGAAAAATCTGATATTCCTCTCGCTGCCAACGTGCCCACTCTCCTTCAATTTATTATGAAAAATGCATTTCTCATCGCGGCTTCCGCATAAATTCATCAGCTGCAGTCGACCACTGTCATTTGTCCAGGCCCCGCCCGGCGCCACTGGAAGATTGGAGCTGCCCCAAACCATCAGCGGCCACCCATCAGTGACTACTGTACGGTGGACAACCCGTGGCGGCGACCACCCAGGATCGGAATCGGGATCGGGAGTGGAGTGCAGTGGAGTGCAGTGGAGTGGTGGATAGGAAGAGGGATTCAAACGGTGGCAGCCAGCAGGCAGCAGCTGTCAACTGTCGCACACGACTTGTCCTTGTCAGTCAATGGATTGGCATCCGCCTGGCAGGGAACTTTGGGGCCAGGACCCGGGGCTTTGAGCATTTTCTATATTAAACTTTCACATTTTTTGACATACGGCCAGTGCAATTGGTATGCAAATTGACATTGGCGGTGGGAAGGGGCAGCATATTTGGCAGGCGACTTCTTCTACGAAAGGGAAAAGTCGAGATTATGATCGAGTAAAGGGAAGAGGATTAAGTTATAAAGAATTTATGTCATTTTAAACCATTTAAGGAAAAACATAGTAGTTATAGTTACAAGTATTTAATAATTGTTCAAGGAATCCTGTTAATAAAAGTATTAAGACACCATTCTATTTTTATGATTTTTACAACAGCCTAAAAAAATATTTGAGTACAGGAAACCAACCTAAAAACCTCACCTTTTCCCTCTCACATTTGTAACCCTAAGAACCGAAGAAAATCCAAAATAATTTCATGCAAACCAAAACGAATATTTTTCCATGTACTTTCGACAGCTCGGATAATTTCATATTTGTTAAAAAACAAAAGACGAAGAGAAGATACCCAGAAACCCCAAAGATACCCACAAGAAGAATCCAAGTGAAAAGCGAGCCAAAACCGATCTTCCGCTTAACGTGAGCAGTCACAGATACTTATACTTTAAGATACGATTCACATTCACACAATGCGAGACGATGGCACACATGTGGCATCGTTTTACATGAGATGCGTGCAGTGGTTAAAAATTGGGCAGAAAGCGTGCTTAATTGCGAGGAAAGTTCCAGCGGGAAATTAGATGATCTCAGGCCCCGGAGAAGCGGACAAAATTGCCGGGGAAATGACACAGGCCACGCCCCCTTCGGGATGAGGGCAAGTGCAGGAAGGCGTGAAGTAAAAAAGTGTGAAAAACCACACACACTCGATCAGCCATCCATCCATCAGGGGTTCTGCCCTATGGTAATCCCATTTCAGGGATATCACAAATGGAGCTAGGAAATTTTAGTAAAATTAATTGCATATCTTCGGGTGTGGAGAATGTTCTTCAACTTTACGCTTCACTGGCGTTAAAAACAAGTAAGCCGATATCAACTCTTGTTTTGTTATCTTAAAAAAGGAATTAGGGGAAATATGTAGGTATAAAAAATGTTGAAAATTTCCTGTGTATTATCTAGTTCTAGTGGTTTTTGGAAAATATAAGATTATAGTACATAAAATATTTATAAGAAATAGTGGGGTTTCCTTAAAAGATATTTTAAATTGAATCTCTTTTCAAGAACTAAAACAATTTATTCGGAAGTGTTTTTCCTTAAAATCGGTTGGAGTATTAAATAGTAATTGCGTTAAACCTCTCATTTAACCCTACAAAAAACAAGCAGCCATTTTCCTGACCAGCGTTTTTGAAACCCTCTCTGTGGGCGTAGCTTAAGCTCCATCTCTGCGTTTATTCCAACCTCATTGGCACTGATTCGTTCAGCTCGCCAAAAGCTAAAAAACCCAAGAAAAAACATACCAACAAATTGTAATCTTCGCTGGCAACTCGTTTTGGGCTTGAGTCGAGGAGAAACTGGTTTGCAGTCTTCGGGTGGCTTCTTCTGCCTCGTTTGGAATCAGCATCAGCAGCTCTTTAGCGCTCGTTCCCAAAAGCAAAGTGTTGGACCAGACCACCGACATCCCCCCAGAAATCCGGTAAAAAAAACCAGATCGGTGTGTGTACTTGTCATGTAGTTGCTTTGTTGCCCCAACTTGGTGGCTCCTCTTGAGTGGATCTCTTTGTGGCTCTGCCCACTTTCGAGGCCGGTTTGGAGTCGGTTGTGACTATGGTTGTAGTTGTCGATGTGGAGGTGGAGTGAGTGGGTCGTACCAGGCAGACCCACCAGAAATTCGCCAGGCGATGATCCACCGACGGGTTTCGACTACACAAAGTCAGCCAACCAATTGGCTTTGCCATATGGAGATTTACAATGCTAAACAAAAGGTAGCATTTATAATCGGCTATAAAAGGCCATATAAATCGTACATATAATAAAAACATTTTATGGTCAATTTATTACATTTCTCACTTTTATATAAAGTGATACTGCAATTTATATTTATTTATTCAATTAATCTTTGAATAAACAATAAATTATATTAACTTACAATGAGCACACGAGCTTAGATTCTTAAAACCTCAATGTATGATATATCTATTTTGATTTTAAATTTAATCAATTGATGGAATAAGCTACCATTTAACCATTTATATTTAAATAAAGCCCCCTCAACCTAATAAATTCTTCTTAAATAAACTTAGGAAGATCAAACCACATAATCCCCAACTAAACCGTTTTAGATACATCCATAGCAGCATTCAAATTCACTTCGCTTCCATGTCATAAGATCAAAAGTCTATCCAAATTGACACTCACAACCTGTAATTTGCCATGTAAAATCGATAATCATTCGCAGCATTTTGTGCACCGCCCACATGGCGGTCTTAATCTGGGCGTGCCGCGTTCGTGGGGCTGTAAAATTGTAAACAAAATGATTTGCCATAAAATTATCATAATACCGCTCTCAAAATGCGCCAACAACATGTTGTCAACGGCTTTGAGCTTCGCTTCGAATAACCGAAAAATACAACCGACATCCAAAAAGCTCATCGAAATTTAGCCGCTGGCATTGTGAGTCGTCTCGCTGCCATCAAAAGTGTCCATAAATTCTGGCCCACACACAATTGAACTTTTTGGTAGATCCCAGAGCCCAGCCCCAAAAATCAAACTCCAATTTGTGGCCGTAATTATGAGCGAACAGCAGCGGCCAAGAAATCAAGACGAGCTGGAAAATTTACATGCAAATCGGATTTCGTAGGTTTTTCAGGTGCTCTGGCTGCGCCGTTGAAAGAAAAAATGCCCAACACATCGACTGGCAAAACTGCTTGCCGCATGCAACATCAAAGTGGAAATTAAATGCGCGGTAATTTGGCAAAAGGCTCAAAGGATGCCGGCCCCATGGAATCGAAGGCTGGCGAACAGGCCCAGTTGATTTGGCCCTCGCCTTTGCCAAGTTGCCGCCAAACGTGTACAGGTTTTGTTCCTCTTTCAGCCAGCAAATTTTGTGATTACTGATTGAAGTGAGGAGCTGAGAAGCTGCAGCTCCAAGGTTCCAAGCTTGCACTGGGAAAATAGTTGCGCTAAATGTAGTAAAATTTTATAAATTTTAATTAATTTGATTAGACTCCATTAGCCTGTCCTGTTAGACTGGTATGAGTGATTTTGTAAGCACTCTAGCATTAAATACTGCTATCATATTCACTAAATTTTATTAAGAGAAAAGAAATAACCATAATAAAACAAAAGTAACACAATTCGCTCATAATTATTTAGCAAAAGCATTTAGATACTAGGTATAAAAGTAGTGACGTCAAAAACTTCAGCACACAACACTTGTGATATGATATGTTTTGATAAAAACTAGATACAACCTTTTTCTAAAATTTATTATTTGGCACGATTTAAAAAAAATGCACAAAATTATACTATAAAATAATTTCGTGAGAAATTCTTTATATTGAAGGTGCGTTCGTTACAACTTGTTTACCTCGTTTAAGTAATTTTCGAAGTTTTTTTTTTATTCATTGGAAACCTGTTAAGGTGAAAGGTTTGAACATCGTTATTTTGAGCAAACTTGTTGCATTAAATACAATGTAGTAAATGTATCAAAAAGTAGGTATATATTTCATAACCAGCAACAACCCAAAAATTATTTAATATACAAAGTTTAACAACAAAGAGAACACAAAGAACAAAATTATGAAGAAATCAGTATAGGACTGTTATACTAATACAAAATTATCGAAAAATTGATCAATGGTTAAAATCAAAACTAAACTGTTAAGTACAAGACTGCGATACCTATGGATTATTATCGTGAAACTGATCAATGGTGAAGATCTGGAAGCCCATGCGCAAGTTGCGCGTGATGTAATAGTCATCGACGTTCATCTCGAAGGCATCTTTGCGTAGTGTAAGAAATATCTCCGCGAAGGTGGTGGTGCCCAAGGGAATTTGGAACACCATTGAGTCCTCTCTTTCGACCCTGAAAAATGCAATATTATTCCCCATGAGTTAGATTGTTCTCCTAGCAAAGAATCAAAATGATAAACCCACTTTAGTGTGGCCTCGGGGAACTTGATCTCCATGAAGGCGCTGAACTTCTTGTTCGGTGACATGGGAAAGTGATTGATGAGGTTCCAGGTGGTACGTGACATGCTGACATTGGGATTGATCTTGCGCTTGAACCGCACCTCCAGCTGATAGCTGCCCTTGTAGTTCTCGTTCCGGGAATCCACGGATTCCATAGTCCACAGTTGACCCTCCAAAAGGAGCGGCGTATGCAGACACAGTCGCTCGGAGTCCAGACCCGTGAGAGTGGTGTACAGGAAACTGGAACCCATCGCCTGCATGGTGGAGGTCATCATCAGGACGATTTGCTTGCCGGTGGGATCCAGACCGGCTGGAACTCCATCCACGCAGATAAAATCCGGTGATCCCAGTATGGCATAACCAAAGTACAATCGTCGGATTTGACCAGAGGTGCAGAGGCGCACCGATCGGTTCCAGCAGGGGGTAAGTCCCAGCATCCGGAGCAGGGAGTCGGAGAGCTCCCGGGCCATCCGGTGTCGGTGACCCTTGATCAGGGCGTGGATGTAGAGCAGTTCGCGGGGTGTGTACTCCGCCGGCAGGTTGTCCCTCTGCGGACAGTAGCCCACCATCCTGTAGCACTTCAACCGGTTCAGGTGCATCGCGTACCCCTTGATCCAGATTTGTCCGCTCTTCAAACTCGTCTCGCTAACCAGAAGCTTTAACAGCATCGACTTGCCGGAGTTATTCGCTCCACTTATGCTGAGGCACTCCGATCTAAGATATATGGTTTATCGGGTTTTTAGCAAATCTCTAATGCGATTTATTTTATCATAATACTTTCTCTTACATTTTTGGGAAATGGTTGCATAAGCAAAGATGTGTTATTTGGCTTAAATTATTGTAAGGGGTAATCTAATATACCAATTATGTTCATTATCATACCCGTTTTTTTAATATTAATAAAGAGTTCTCTTGAAAACATTTGTTTCTTAATCTTTTTATTATTATTTAATAATACTTACTTAGCCACTGAGAAGTCCAGGTCTTTGAGCACTTCAACACGTCGATTCTTTGTGACAATCCCAACTGCTACAGCGGCATATTGCTTCCGCTCCTCTTCTGTTAAATTACTGGCCTGGCATTTTTCAGCAATGACCGCGGAATCCTGGGACATATGACCGGGATACAGATTTTCCTTGTTTCTATCCCTCTGAACAGCCTTCTTCGATGCCCTGCGACATCGTCCAAATCCCACGATCGAATAATACTCCCATATAAACACCAAAATCCCGACTATGATGACAAGTGCAAACAGTATCGCAAGTTCTTCAATAATGCCTTGGCCGGGAGTAGTGTAGTCCAAGTGTACTGTAAATTATCATAGATTATGGATATGTTTTTCACGGGAGTTCATTGGAAGGAAGATATATTCCGATTTAAAAGGAACCGAAATGTACACTGTACATCTTAAATTTTTTCGGAAATATTTTCATTCGAGTTTTCTTAATGCTTAACTGCAGCAGTTAGGGGAACTCTTGCACTTGAAAACCTCAACGGAGGTAAAGTTAATAATGGGATCCTCGCAAGTTACTTTTCCTTCGTAGATCACGAAAGCCTTGACAATTATCACGCCCACCGTGTACATAGTCAAAAACCCCAGCTCTGGGCCCATAGACTCGTCACCAGCATGAAACTTTTGCACAAACATGATGAAGCCCAAAACGTTTATCCCGCATAGCCACAAATATCCATAACACGGGTTCCGGCAGATTCCCGATAGTAAATAAGCGAGCAGGATCACCCAAATTCCAGCAAGCATCAAAGTGACCAATAAAAGGACTGTGAATAAAATAAAAGAGATGAGCTTTCAATACGGAATTCTTAGGATTGTTGATATATAAAATTATTAGGTACCTAAGGCAATTATAGAGACTTTAAAAACCAGTGTAAGAATAAGGCGAATTTACCGTACAGTTCAGTGTCGTGGTAGGGATCCATGTAGATGGCCAGCACAGCTACAATGCTCACAGAGTAGGTCAGCAGGAAGACGATATCATATAGAAACATGAACATCCAGTAGCTGCAAACTCTGGCACCGGCCAAAAACTGTTGCTTTCTCATAAAGCTCCCACGCTCGCTAATCAGGTAGACCACAAATGCGGGCCATAGGAAACTCATCACAATGGCAATGGAGGAGGCTAAACTGGCACCAAAAGTGTGGTTGCACGGAGGAAACATGTTGATGCTCGTCTGGAAGGGAAGCGGTTGCAGGGTTACATCGATGGTGGCCTCTTCGTCAATCAGTTTCCTGCGATTTATTACATTCCAACAAATATTAAGGATTGTAAACATAACAATTTAAGGTCAATCGAACATTAAAACTTAAAAAGAGCGCTTCTTTCAAAATAAATTAAAAAATTATATTGGGGTCACCAAATATTATTTTTAGAGTGGTGTGTTATTATTAAGTGTACATTTATACAGAATTCACCCACAAATGCTTAGAGTTATAATTCCCAAAAATTGGACCACAGTGTGTCATGCTGTGGTCTAAAGTGTACAAATTCTGGGTCACCACTTTCGCTAATTTCAAGAAAGGCCCAAATTAATCATTGATGGTAACTTAGATGTACCTAATAAAAATGGATAATAGTTTTAAAACGGAGAAGTTACAAGTTTGGGGTCATATAATTTTAAGTTTGTAACAACTGGGTAAAAAAGATGGTGTGATTATGGAGTATGTTTATAACTCACCCACAAATGGTGAAAGGTAAAGTTCTCAAAAATTTAATCAGAAGGTAAGGAAAAATTCTGGGTCACCTTTTCCAGAAACTTTGGAAATGACCCAGAATCTCCCCTAAACTGTCATAATTACTTAACAACCGAATAAAACCCACCTGGCCACCGCATTGTGAACAACATTTAAGGCATAGGGTGCCGTATGCAGTGGTACATTATTGAACCAGGCGGTGACGATCTCCTTGTCAAAGGTGGCCCCGAATATCTGGGCCCCGTTGACGCGGCTGGTAAAATCGCTTTGGGTCAGCAGGGCATATGTGTTACGGTGGCTCTTCGTCAGCAGCGTCAGATGAGCATCGTACCAATAGAGCAGTTCCGTGTAATATGCATGCATTTCCCTGACATCCACTTCCTCGGAAAAGAGCTCCACGAAGGCGTCGACGGTGTTCAGTTGGCTGAGGTTAAAGGTCAGCGGCTGCAATTCGAAGTTCTTTCCATACACTAAAATGCTACAAAAACTGACCAGCATTATCATAACATGGGTGAACAGCTCGATAAGAAAAATGATCCAATGCTTGTAGAACGCGATCCAACGTTTGTAGAAAATTGCTCTGGAAAAAGGGTTATATATTAGCTATGGGAATAATATTAATCCAAAAACTTTTCATGGATTATTGATTACAATTTTTAAAAAATCCTTATAATTGTTATCAATTTAATGGTGCGGTTTTAACAAACAAAAACCTTCTTTAATACAGTCTTTGCCACTAAATTAAGTACCAAAAAAATAAATAAAAACGGAGCTTACCTGCCCTGCAAAAAAAACAGTTTCCAGCCCGTCCTTAGACCCTTTTCATTGGCCTCCGCCAAGGTGACATAGTACTCCTCCATGAGGACTTGGGCATTCTCGGGCGACTGAAAACCGCCGCTCAGGTCGTTCTCCTCGCAACCAAATCGCAGAAAGATCTCTTCCATCGAAGTGTCCCGAATCCGGAAACTGACCACGCCCAATCGCTGCATATTGTTCTCCAGATCTTCGATCAGGATCGGAAACAGATCTTCATACCTGTTCTCCAGCACAAATGTGATCTTATAGCCAATATCCCTCTCGATGCTCATGTTGGGGATATAGCTGTTCATCAGGATGAACAGCTCTTCCATATTGCAGTTTTTCCCTTTCACGCAGGTCTTAAAGTAAGAAAAGGAGTTACAAATATAAAATGCGAATTCTTTAGATACAAATTGTTAGATCAATTTCTTGACAAATAGTCAATTCCTTACCAATCGATAGCCATGTCCGTACATATTTTTCAAGAAGGGCTTCGTCCCGGTACACTTGAGTTCCCCATTCGACATAATGGCCATTCGATCAGCTATATTCTCAGCCAGCGGTGGGGAATTGGAGACCAGAATGATGGTTCGCTTAGACTTCTCCTCGTTGATCAGATTCCAGACCAGCGTCTGCGTGCGCTTGTCCAGATCCGAGTGTATATCGTCTATAAGGATTATGGGACTGTTTCCCACAAAGGCACTGCAAATGCTCACCAAACACAAATCCCGGCCGGTGAGAGTGCGGATACGCTTGGTTTTCAGATCTCCGATTTGCAGGATATTCAAAAAATAGTTGGCCTGTCCATCGATTTCGATGGAGTTATGCAATCCCTTAACCCGGCAAATAAATCTCAAATAATCAATGACAGTGTAGCCGCCCAAGAGCATTTCATTGCCCAATGCGATGCCCAGTTCCATGGATGCCGCCTTCCTTTCGGTCTGTATATTATAGGTGGATATCATCACAGTGCCCCGCGTGGGCTCCAGCAAGCCGGCAAGTATTTTTAGCAGTGTAGTCTTGCCACAGCCATTGTGACCCATCAAAACGGTGACCTCGTTCTCGTACACATTCCACGAAAAGAGATTCAGTGCCGGACGATCGCTGGCCCCAAATCGCTTGCACAGTTTTTTGATCTTTAGTTTGAAACGGCGATGTGAGGGTTCTACCTCATAGATCTTTGTGGAATTAACCCCAATGGACTGACCCTGTTGCGCAAAGCTATCCGCCCGATCTCGATACGGATCCTCCTGCACACTGGTATTCGTGCTGGGTTTTTTCATTTTCTTACCGGATCGGTCACTGGCGCGCCATCCATCTACATACAGACCAATGGCAAAGTAGATCAATGCGTTCACCATGAATATCCAGCTGCTCGAGGCCACCGTTATGGAAGCCTCGTCATAGTTGATTTTATAGTCATGATCCTCCCACGAAACATGGACCACCGACTCCCGTTCGATCAGACTCTCAAATACCATAGTTATCACCACATTTGGCAGCACATAGGATATGTAGCGCACGGCATGCATATGTCCTTCCGGATTATTCCACAGAACAACGATGGGCAAATACGTTAATATCCATAGGATTGTTAGCACCCGCACGGCGTTGAGGGCATTCCGGAAAAAGGATGCCACCATTATCGCAAAGGCAAGTGACGCACAGTTGTAGCAGAGCATTACTACAACCAGTATGTACCAGGGCGTTTGGGTCAGCACCCCGTTATCCTCGTCCCAGCGTATCTAGGATAGAAATATAAATATTATATAGATAGGAATATATTGCAATAACTCTACCATTCAATCTCACATACCAAAATTCGCTATCGGAAACTAGAAAGTTCCCGAGATCTTATAGCTTATGGTTTGAGAGACCATGTTCAAGAAAAAAATATTTGAATCATACCTTTAAAAGCACCACGATGATGACTGAGCTTATCATCATGTAAATCAAACCCTTGATATACCAGGAAAGGAAGTGAATAAGATTGCCTATATTCATGTTGATCAGGAACTGGCGAACTTGCGACTGCTTTTCACTTACCACCTGCTAAAAAATGGATATGATAAAAAGTGCTCTGAAAGCAAGGACTCAAGGATCTTGGCATACCCAAACGAATAGCTGGGTGGGAAAGAGGAAACCGAATACAATGAGAATAGGCATGCCATAGTCGAGGATATACATCAGGGGATCCTGTTTTCGGGCGGTGAGGGGAAAGCGCCTTAAGTGGATGGCCGGCAAGGATTTATGGCTGATCAGGTCCAGGAAGGATTCGGTGACAGCCTTCTGCAGCCGGATAAAACCCTCGCGAACGTAGCCCACGAATCCGCCATCATACGGCTGATTGAGTCGATCGAGCAGGAAGCTGAACGGATCGTCCTTGTTCAGAGTCATCCAGTTGGACTTATGGAAGTCCCCTTCCATCATCCTCAGCTCGCTGGGCAGAAAGATCGTATAGTTAAGAATCGGAATGACTCTCTCTTCGGTTCTCAAGGTGCCCTCCTCAAAGTTTTGATCCCGCGTGAACGGACTGCCATCGAAACAGAGACCCGCAAATAGACTGCTCTCGATCATCTCATTTCGCAAGATCTCGCAGTTATCGAAATTCACCGTGGTCATTGGATCGATTTGGGACTGCATCATGCTCATGATCGACTGAAAGACCACATAGCTTTTCGGTGCCCAACCGATAATCAGATGCGGTGTAAATGGGTTTCCCTTGATGTTATGTTTATCCGCCACCAATCGCGCCTTCTCCAGCTTCTCCACCATTTGCATCCAGCTGCGGTCCAAATCAATCGGACTGTACACTTTATCGGATCGGGGATCCACGGGTACGAAGAACCGCATTAGTACTGACACAAAGATGAACAATGGGGGCAACAGCACTATGACCAGTAACTCCAACGGATTGGCCAACTGTAACTTGTGGTTCTTCTTGTTTATCAGTATAAACTTGCGGATATAGTCGCGCACCGTCATCGTTGTAGGTTTTTATAGATAGGTTCCGGTTCCGTAAATGTTACGTTTTCTTTTTGATGTCAACAGGCTACTGTGATACAATCTATACTCAAATTTGGGTAAAAACCTTCTAGTTCTTAGTAATCAAGCTATTTCCAACAATCATAAAAGTTTTGAGATTTTTTCTACATTTAAATGGAAAATAAGAGCTGGCTGTACGAATTAAGGACTATTTATTAGGCCTACTTCAGTCCGCATTTATTTTCGCTTCTAAGCGATATAGCCTGCCAAGTCGCCGTGATTTCTGCAGATGGCATGCGTTGAGAACCCCCTTCAAGATCGACCGCCTTTAATTACCCACATCAATAGTGGAATGTGGCCGAATGCGAACGAGCAGTTGGCATGCAACATGTGCATTTCACCAATAAAAGCGCTAATACATAACTTTTGTGCAATGCCAGCCCAGAGGCGAATCAAGCCAACCACCACGACGTGCACTCGTAATCTACAGTGGACCCTCCCTTTGGAGGCTGTCAGATTTGCTGCACACGAAGTGCTGTTCTAGTACCGGTCGTTACTAATGCCCCGATCTACAATTGCAGTTGGATGGGGATTATGGGGATTATGGGGAGTATGGGGAGTAGGGAGTGGCTGGGCCCTGGGCGAGGACTCCCCGAGGTGTGAAACCGTCTTGTCATTTGCCGTAAGTGAGCAGCAGGAATGCCTGCTAAGTGGAAGGCCACCATGAGCATAGTGGTTCGGGATCTTAACTAGAAGTATTTATAAATGTATTATAAAAATCTTTGAGAGCTTTAAAATGAAAATCGAACTTAAAGATAATCACATTTAATATGAAATATAAATTATTTTTGTAAGTTTATTTATACTGTAATCTTATTATATCGCCTTACAGCGACATATGCTAAACCAGTTGGCTTCACATGCAATCCAATTTATATGCAAATTAATATATTGGCTTAACTTCGTAATACTCAGTTGCACAATTAACTAAGCGTCTTTTTGGCCCAACTCGTTTTTTGTTTGTTACCAAAAAATGAAAAAAATCTCAATTAGTAATAACTACATTTAACAAAATTTCATCATTTTTGAGATTTCTCCTATGGTTTTCTTGCACTTGTATTTCTGCATTGTGAAAATTACATGTTTTTAATGGCTTGCTTGAAAAAAAATTTCTTTTTGTCATGAAATGTAAGTACCTTACTACCTACAAAGCATATCTAACCACTGTACCGCTGCCCCACCAAGTAATCAGGAATGCTTTGGACTGTTTTGTCCAGAACAGAACAGATCAGAAACTGGTAAAGGTAAAGGTAGAGCTTGAAGAGAGAGGCCTTAGCGATGGCGAGGCAAGTCCTGTTGCGATTTGCAACATTTTTATGATGATTTAGCATTCGCCCGCGGAGACAGCGCAGCGACTGCTGCAGTTGCTCCTGCACATGTTGTTGCTGCTGCCGGGGATCTCCTCTATATAGCCATAAAATCGTGTGACATATCCGCAATTTTTCAAGCTTCCCGCGCCTGCGTTCAAGTGTCGAAGTCGGTCTTAACGGCGCTCACCCGCTGCGAACTGCAAGGAACTCGAGAGTCCCCAACCCAGAAGATCCCATCCGAGAAACCCCAGCCCACAATCCCAATCCGAAATCCCCAGTATCCCCAGTCGCCGTTCGCTGGAAAAGTGTCAAAGCAATTTGTTCAAGCAGCCGTGAATTTGTGTGGGCGGTATTTCGCAGAATCCGGTATCAGAAACCGAAACGCCCCCGAAAACTAGCGACGACAAATGCTTTCAATAGTCAGTCAGTCGACGGGCGATTGTTTTTCGCACCGATAACCATCGACGCCATCTGATTGCCTGCTTTTCTCATTATTCGCCCACACATTCGAATTTGAATTCCAATTTGCAGTGGCCATTGGCAACTAATTGCCGGCGATAATGCCGCCAGCTTTTCTCGTTTTTTTGGCAAACTGCTGACAAATTATTTATGATACGATTTGTGGTAGCCCGCTTCTATTTTTGGGCTAGACAAATTACCATTTTTAGTCTGGCCATGCGAGCGCGATAATGAATTATACTTATAGTGTCTGGCATTTAATTATTTTAGGCCACGTTTGACTGATTTTTCGCATGGCCTTCACAACTGGTGACCTTTAAAATGATTGGATTCAGTTATCAGTTATTATTTATTTGTTAAATATGGTTTAACAAAAGTTTTGAAAAATATTTACTAACGAATTATAAAGCGCTTTAAGGAGAGGAATAGTCATTTTTTTGAACTTGTAACTTAAAAATAAAAAAAAAACATTGCATCGACCGGGAATCGAACCCGGATCACTCGCATGGGAGGCGAGCATTCTACCACTGAACCATCGATGCTGCCTTGAAAGGTATAGAAAAGTTTGTAAACATAACTGTCAACTAGTTAGTAAGAACTACACTGAACCAAAATTTTATTTTTTTTAAATTTTAAAATCATTTTTTTTAATGGTTTTTTACAACTAAGAAAGTGTCAATGCATACTTATCTTTTAATCAATGATAACGGCGGATGTCCGGTGAACGGGCACAACTCCATCGAGGACCTTGATGTGGGAGTTGGCCCGAGGAGGCGGATCCCGTCCCGTAGATCCCGCAGATGCCCAAGGCCTGAGTCAACTGGCGATTCCTTTTGTTCTATGCCGTCAACGCTAAACACTCACGTCAGCCAATAAATCCACTTCAGTGCGCCAATCGGGGGATCTCACTCTCGGGGGTTCTGCTCTTCGCTTTTCGCACAGCTTCCAAATGGGTTAAGAGGGGCCGAAAGGGGCAGGCCAGCGGGATCAGGGGGACGGCATCTAAGGATGAGGAAAGCCGGTTTCCCTTTAGGTGTCAAAAGCAATAAAACGCCGGCCTGTAATCAACGCGATCCTAAATAGGTGTACAAATTACACCAAAGTCCTTAATTATAGCGAAACCGCCAGCGTCCAAGCATCATTCTTACACTGGAAGAAATGCAGATTGTGATATTAAATGAATATTTTATTTTACCAAAGTAAATGGTTTATACATCTGAAAGCGTAACAAAAGAATCATTAAAGTTCTGAAGAATATATCAAAAAACTTCTAGGGATATTTTGGTGTTTTTGAGTTAAAAATAAAAATTATGCATCGACCGGGAATCGAACCCGGACCATTCGCATGGGAGGCGAGTATTCTACCACTAAACTATCGATGCTTGCTTGAAAGGTGGAAAAAAGTTAGTTTACAAAGCTGCCAGTCTTTATTTTATTAAAAACATAAAAAAGCTGCATCGACCGGGAATCGAACCCGGATCACTCGCATGGGAGGCGAGCATTCTACCACTGAACTACCGATGCTCCCTTAAATTGTGGAGAAAAGTAAGTAAGCATGTTTGTCGTCTTAATAATTTTTTCATAATAATAAATACAAATAATAATGAAGGATGTCGGTTAATAAAAACAGCTCCATCGAGGACCCTGATGTGGGACTATCAATTTTTATCCATCATCATGTACACAAATTAACGAAATAAATAAAATTCTATATCACCCTATTTTTCTGCGTGTAACTACACTCTTAGCTTATGCCCAACTCCCAGCCAAAGTTTAACCACAAAACGCCATCGTGATGGTCTTGGCCCTGTCGCTGGCTGTTTACTCTCGGATCTCGGCTGTCGGTTCTCACTCCTCGGTTCTCGGTTCCTGGCTTTCGAATCTTGGCTGGGTTCCTTAAAGCCCCGTCTTCTGATTCAGTTTGCTCTCGTGGTAGGACCGCAACTATTAAGAATTTGGCACGGTGCTGCTGCTGCTGTGGCATATAACTTACACCCAGATCGATCACTGCAATTGGTGTAAATGTACTTGGCCAAAACAGCAAGCCAGCAAAAACGGGGGAACGAGAATCAGAGGGCTAGCACTTGGCGCTCGTAGTTGGCCCGGTTGGTCTCTTTTGGCCATGCCGCACGTTCGTGCTGCGAAAATTACATTTGATCGATTTGATCGGCGCTACGAGATCAAAGGAAATGAAAGACGGCGACGAGAACGCCGACGCGGATGCCGGTGCGGATGTGTTGCGGATTTATTGCGGATGGGGAGTGATCGGAAGATGAGGACCTTGCACACCGGCGTTGATCGCTTTTTGTTTTGCAGTTTGTTATACCCTAGATGGCAAAGCATTTCAGCATTATCATATTTATTGCTAATAGAGGAGAGTGCTCTTTAAAAAGGTTTCTTATTCAGTTCCGGATGCTTAGATCTTCAAACATATTACTTTCTTGATAATTCAATTACAAAACACCATCCTAAACATTTCAAATCACTTTAGCATTATAATATAATTGCTTCCTAGAAATTCGTTGATAAATATTTAAACACATTAATACATTTTCAAATTTCTTTATTTTCTGACTTTCAACAATTGTACTTGTACTTTATTGGTAATGCAAATACAAAACTCCCTTTAAAACATGACACCAGTTGCATTAATTTTTTCTCCACCAATTTTAAGTGCAACATCGATGGACTTATCTGCAGGGCAGCATCTAGAATTGCCGGCCATTTGCAATGTAACTTATGGCCAACATCAGTGGCACAATTAAAATCATTTAGAGGCCAATTAAATTTCGTTAGCAGCATTACATTCCCGGGTCACATGAGAACCATTTCGCAATCGCAGGCCAGATGAAGGCAAAGGGATGAAGATGGGAAGGGATGTCACTGACAATTAAAAGCACCGAAAATGGCCGTTGAATGCAACCAGAGACAATCAGAGAGTCCAATGCCGAGAGTCCGGGCTTTTCGTCCTGCCGTACTACCATTTTCCCCATTTCCCCACTCCGATTCCTTTGGTTTTTCTAGCCCACGAGTGCGTGCATTTGGCCAAAAGTGCGTGTTGTTGGGCGATTTGGCTCAAATTGTCCCGGCCAGATTCAGCTTGTGTGTGTGGCAGCTGGGGTCGCCATTAGAGGCGCTGAGCGATGAGCATGGGAATTTCAATTAGACGAAGTGCCCAGGGAGAAATCTTTCCCACAACTTGCCAATTATTTTCTGTGATTTTCTGCAACGACTGCTGCTTCTTTTTTGCGGATTTTTAAAGTCACTTTAAGAAAAGACATGATAAAAATAATTCTTTCGGATATGACATGGAATAAAAGATATAAATTGACCAGTCTTTCTATAATATACCAATGAAATTGGTAGGATGTTTGAATGGTCTTTAATATTTATTTTAACTTCATTACAATTTATGTAATCTCAATGTTTCTTTTAATAATTTGTATTTACCTTTTATTTTATAAACCAAATCTATAAAATAGTATTCTGTCTAAAAATATGTATTCATGGAAATTAAAATATAAAACCAAAATTGTCCAAGATTTTCCCCAGTGCTTGGATTGAGCTCGCGGTTTGCCAAATAAAATAAATTCACAAAAATTACACATTGGCATCCGTGTGCCGCCTACGTGGTCAGTTATAAAGATATATTTTTTGTTTCTCTGGCTACCGACGATGGGTAGGTGGCATTCAATTTTCTACAAATTTGCCACTCTTTCTCCCGCGAGTCGCAGTGCAACTTTCACAGCTTCTTCGGTAGAGAGACCGACCATTATTGGGTAGCTGTGCACGGGGTATCTGCATTTTTTACGCCTCCAAATCGAATCATTTGCGCATAAGTTATGGTCACACAGTTGCCTATTTTCTTGCCCCTGGTCCCACTCCTCGGCATTTTGTGTGTCGTGCGTGCTGAATTTCCCTCGCTTACCGTTACCAAGTGGAAATGGCCACGGCTCGTTGGCATTTCGGCCGGCTACCTATCTTTTGGGCCTCGAATTAACTTCAGCCCATGCCTAGGCCCAACTCCAGGCTTAAGCCCAAGCCCCAGGCACCCATCTTGTCCCTAACTGCGAGTCTGGACCCTGAGATCCCTGGGTTAGCTAAGCAAATTTCACACTTCAGCTGCAGTAACTTGAAACGCAAAAAGCGAAAGAGATTGAGATATTCGCTTTTGTGGGATAGTGAAGCGAAAGATTTGCAAGCAGATCGATGGGCTCTTAAAGGGTTCATTGATGCTTACCTGGTGTCGATATATATTTTAAGATTTATATTTTAAACATAATTTTTTTTAAATCTTAAAACTTTTTTACATTAGGCACTATATTTCGCAACTTAATCCCGTATTTCGTTGCCCCAAAAGAAAGCTTTCTCTAGATATGCTTATTAATTAAATCGCACTCCCCTCTGGCATTGCCATTTTATTTGGCCTCATCGCCGCTGGCTTTCGTCATTATCCTCATCATCATCATCCCTGTCAAAGTGCCATCAACATTAACCCAAATGAGTGGAGATTTCAAGTATTAACAATGAGCCGAGAGCTACGCCCCAGTTCCACTTGCAAATTAATAACCTTTCACCTGAGTTTTAATTTAAATTCTCCGCGACTTATCCGCAAAAAGCGTGGCGATCCGCCATGGATCTGGGTCTGAGACCTCCCATCCGGGACCTTCGTCAAGGGAAGCTCCTCACCAGTTCCCGGCTGACATTTCAAATTTCGCAAATGTCAAAAGCCGCTGCTCATTTGTCTTCAAATCCGCCACAACTGCCCGCCGTGAGTCGCGTTTTTTAACACTTTTCACTTAGCCCCAAGTCCATGAGTCCAGCTCCTCGCGTGGATGGATGAGGGGCCAGGGGCCAAAGCCACCAAAGGAAGTGCCGACCCGGGTCTTGATGACCGGGTCGAAAGCCTTCTGACCCATCTGGCCACGCTTGGAAGCTCCTTTCGGAGCTCAGCTCACTTTCCAGCCGTTGTTAAATAATTTCACAGTCTATCAATTAGCGTGGCGATCGCGTCAGCAGTATCATAATGCACAGTGGTTCCAAATAAAAAACAATTTTTAACTCAATATTATTTTCTTTAGGATTTTATACTAGGTTTTTAAAAATTATTGGCCATACCTATTTTATCGCCTTCGGGAACTCAAATCATTTTACCAACTATGTGTTATTCATTTAATTTCTTAAATTTTTTAAGACCAAGTCTAAGTACAAAGAAATATATTTTTAACCTTAAGAAATATGGTATTTGTAACACGTGCTTACCCAAATTTAAAAATTGATTGATTGACATTTAAGCACAAAATCGAATAGCTAATCTTACAAATTTTCACCTTGTGGTTTTACTGTCAACCACTGTGCATGGTAGTGGTCCATTTTTCATAATGTTGCAAGTTTCTTTTGGCCACGGGGTGAGCAACAGCTGTCCGATGGCAAGTTGCACCGCCGACTTGGCCAGTTAGTGGAGTTGGATTCGGAGCTGGAACCTGGATATATGGATATGCGATCCGGGGACGGGGATCTCGGCAAGCTCCTATGACCTTAGGGGCTGGCAAAGGTGGTCTCGCTGATTGTTTACGTCTGCGCTACTCATAAAATTTCAATTAATCTCCGTGTCACTGCACTGCCAAGCCAACACTTTCTTGCTAAACATCATTTCCACTCAAAAAAAAAATATCAAAAATAATAAAAAGAACATTTTTACAAGTTTTTACATTTATATTCTACAGTTTTATGTTTTTTATATGTAATATTTAAATAAATGAATGTTATTTTCCGTACATACCTAAACCAAATATCCTTTAGAAATTTCTTTTTGCAGTGTTCTTGTATTTAATTAAATACAAGACACATTTCTGGGGGCTGTGTTGGCCTGTATTAATAATAAGCCTTCAGTTTCCTCTTGCTTAGCAGATTATAATCTTCTGATCTTCGGGTATGCCTGGCAGGCACTCAGAAACTCGCACACGAATTAATCTTCTTCAAATTAGCATCTTGATTAGCCAATGAAATGTGTAACCCAGGCCCGCGATCGGGCGTTCGCTATAAAAATCAACAGAGAACCCAGCGATGATCATTGATCATTTTCGTGTTGTGTTGGTTTTTCTGTGACTCCCATTCCCATTCCAAAACTGAATCTGAATCTGAAGCCAAATCCGTTCGCATGGCTCTGCTGTTGATGTGATTACAATAATTAATCTTGCCCGAGATTATTGTTTCTACCAGCCAGCGAACCAGCAGCTAATCCAAAGTTACACAAAGAAAAAATTGAAGCCTCTATATTATAGTCTTTATAAACTAGTTTGAGTGTTAGGAAATATTTTATGTTGGATTGAGTTTTACTTATGTGACCTAGGAACTTCAAATATTCTTCAAAACTATATCT